GTCAAATAAAATTGTCTGAAAGCCTATTTGTTCAGCGCTGATATTTCCTAAGTGCGCTCGCGCTCCATCACGTGAACTGCGCCTGGAAAGGAATGCGCGCGCCTAAGTTATTCGCGCCTCAGATATTTGCGCCTCAGTTATTCGCGCTCAGAGATGATGAGAGGATTCTCAGAGACCCCTTCCTTTACTTTTGTGTGCGTTTTATGAAAAACAAGTAAGTTCTGACTACTGTTGTATGTTTATACTATGCTTTGAACTTTATTTATGTTCATTCAAACTCGTTTATTCTGTGTGATTTGTGTATGAAACAGAGCGTGCTGTAATAGTTAATATGTTTTCTGTGGGTAAATAATTAGCCCATCTATACGTCGATATAGACCTCTTTGTGTTGTATATTTAGACATATAATTCCGTGTTCGGATGCAGCATTTACTGTTTATTTGATGCTACAGCGTTATAGCGATATAATGTTATATTTTGCATAGTCACTTAAAGGTGCAGTAGTACACCATAAAAGGGCATATAGTGACGTATTCTGTACTGGATTAATGTTAACTATTACTTTCATTACTATACTGTTGTGAATGATGACAATAAGCATATTATAGTATTCTTTATTTGTTTATTATTATTTCATTATTTATTTTTTCTTTCTTTCTGTTTAGACCACACACACATACAGCATATACACTTGCAAACTTGTATATTGGCATCCTGGTCTGTGAAATAAAAGGATGATAAAGGATTCTCTGGCCGGAATCTTTCTGTAGTGTTCCCATCCTACAAAGAACCACTAGTCCATACTTTACATTGGTCCTTCGAGCCGGATCTAGGGTTTTCCTCGACACTATGGAGTCATCAACTGAAGGTCAGCAGCTGGAGTCATTGGATCGACCCAAGAGAGAAACCCGTCCACCTGCACATTTGGCCCAGTACGAAGTCACTCTTCTGCCCTCTCAACAGCCTGTGGTCCAAACCTCCTCTACGCCTGTAGGACAACCAGACCAGGCTCAGTCAACCAGGGCTAGGAGTTTGACAAGTTATCGGTCAGCTACACAGTCACGACGGTCCTCTCGGATATCTTACGGACTCCATCTGTTTCGAAGTACGTCTGATATACAAGAAGCGGCTTTAGAGGAGGAGATCAAAGGATTGGAGCTAGCTGATCTGCAACAGGAAATAGAAGAAGAAAGGAAAGCTGACTTAGAAGCAGCAGCATTGGATGCACAAGCCAGAGAAGGACAGCGACTACAGGAGGAAGCACATTTGGCTAAAGAGAGAATAGCTAGAGAAATGGGGAGACGCAGGCGCTTGAAGAAACTCGAGAAGGAGGTACACATTGCCAGTCTTGTAAAGACCTACCTGACAGGGACGAACAATGAATCATTGTCTACGTCAGCTCCTGCTGTATTCTCCAAGTTACCTCTGTCATCACCATTGACTCAACAGCCACCTCTGGTGCCATCGGTTCCCATGCAGTACCCACCTGTACAGCAACCAAATCTAGCGCCAGTTCAGGTAGCATCTTCCTCCACTGTTCCTTATCAGGTATTGGCACCATCTGCTAGTCCCGTCACAAGTGCCCAAATCAGTGTTCCTGTTAGCACAGCACCGATTGCAGTACCAGTCTCTGTACTTCCATCTGCGCCCGTCTCATTTGCTCCCATTCCCTCCATGGTAACTACTCAGGAAGGTGGAGTGTTGCCGATGACAAGATCTTCTGTCACAACTAGTCTCCCGTCTCAGTACCAAGGGGCTCCAACTACCAGTACAAGTTTCATAATGGCACCACCACCTCCTACAGCTGCATCACCAGTTCAGATGGCATCACCATGGACTTACCCGGGTATGGAGACCTTGATTGCTACATCTTATGGCATTCCCAAACCGACACTTCCTTTTTTCGAGAGTGGCAAAGAAAGTGATTTTGCACTTTTGAAGATGGCGCTTGACAACTTGATGAATAGTCACCCTCATCTCAGCGAGCACTATAAATACCAAGTTCTCCTGGGCCAGCTCAAACTTCAGAGTGCTCTGCAGTTGGCCAAATCATACATGTATGACCCTGCACCGTATACAGCAGCATTGGGGGCTCTGCAAGATAAATATGGCCAGCCAAGACAATTGGTGCAAAGTGAACTTGGGGCAATCCTCAACTCCCCAGCCATTAAGTCAGGAGACGCAGATGCATTTGACTCCTTTGCCCTCTCGGTGCAGTCGCTTGTCGGTATGCTACGCACTTTAGAGGGACCGGTTGGATACGAGCTCAAGTGTGGTTCCCATGTTGACCGTCTTTTAAGCAAAATGTCTCCTTCCTACAGAGATGGATTTGTGGAATATTGTCTCGTTCGCGGCATACTGCAGCCAGGTTCAGAGCTCACCTACTCCTTGCCCGACCTCGCTGCATGGCTCCAGATGAAGGCTCAAGCCAAGCGTCTCGCCAGTCGTGCTACTTTTCTCTATAACTCTACAGGGCCTACCTTACCAAAGCGAGATCAACGTAGCCCAAAGTCCAAAGATAGAACAGCGTCAGTCTTCCTCTGCTCTGGAGAGGCAGCTGACCAGGAGACTTTTCATTCGAAATCCCAAGCTTTCAAACTCAGTCCTTATTGTCCGTTTTGCAATAATAAGGAGCA